ATACACACATATACTTACAAGATATTTCGTCAAATGATAATATTTGCTACTTATTAAATAAAAACTTCATCAAATCCATTGACAATATTTAACAAAATTTGGCAGTTATACCTCCAGAGCCTAAAATATTAATACAATACAATATTTTATTTGGCCACAAAATTTGAGACTTATCGAGCACAGCCGCCTTTTCAAAATATGATATATAATTGTCAGTTTCATATACATATATATATATATATATATATATATATATATATATATATATATATATATATATATACATACACATACATACATACACATATACATACATACATATACATACATACACACATATACTTAAAAGATAAATAAATATATACGGACAAGTACAGTCATATATTAAAACAAATAAGCCACAATCTTACTAATCGAGCATCTGTGACCGTGCGACAAACTGAACTGAAATGTTTTTCAGATTGTGCTGAACTGGCAGAGATGCGTAACACTCGTCTAGCAACCTTTGAGAGAAGTGTAAAGTCTTTGCCAGTAGGCTAGCAAAGAGGTGGGGTTGGCAGGGACATTCACGGCTTTGTATCTAGTCAATTCTTTATGACCTGAGGGTTCAACATTTGAAATTTCAGTGGTTGATGAGCTACAGCTATTCCGCAGGTCAGCAAAAAGATCAAAGCGTGCTTTCTTGGCTGGCTGAGTGTAATCGTCTTCAACACTCTGCTGCGCTGATGTACTAAACTGACATAAAAAATGTATAAATGTTAAGCAACTTGGCCTAATGTGAGATTTATCGGATTTTTTACTTTCACAAACTTGGCAAATTAAAATCACACAAACCTCTCAAATGACGCTGAATTTCTTCTTAATCTGCCATACTTGTAAATAAAAATAATTTTCTTGGTCGGAAAGAAGTTAATTTTTACCCAACGGAACTATCACAAAAGAAAGAGGAACCGATAGACCAAAGACACAACAATATTACAATATTAAATATAAACTAGGTAAAATGTTTGTTTAAAAATAAAAAAAAATTGCAAAAATAAATTATTTATAATAATAAAAAAATGAAAATGTTGATTCAACCCAACCCACGCAACTTCAAAAAATTAGGACCAAACCCAAGCCATTGGTTAACTCAACCCATGTCCACCTCTGGACTGATATGATCAAATCTGTATAACTTTAAATAGGGTACCGTAGAAAAAAATGTAGGCTAAAGTAAGAATATGAAGATAGATTTATTATGTGAAAAAGAGGTTGTATAGCGTTAATAAGATTAATTTAGGAAATTTTAAACTTCAAACGATGAATAAAACCTAAATTTTTTGATGATTAACTTTAAATATATTTAATATGATCCAACCAGGATAAGTTAAACGATATATAAATTTTCAAAAATATAAATAAATCGACCCTTTAATAGTATTGTTAAAGTATACAGAATAATGATATCGATTCTGATCTTAAGACCAAATAATATAAAACAGGTTGTGTAAAATCGAGACAATATTTACACCAATAAAGGCATTTCCCTTTTTAGGTAACATTAAAGAGCATTCTTGGTTAAAATCAGAATTTTAGTGCTTTGTTCCATTATCTGAGGTTATTAGCTTCTTCTGCAACATGGTCAACTTTATCATAAATACCCACTTGTGTCAACTGGGCAAATGCTTTCATCAAAAAATTTCTCTACATCTACTGAGTTGATGCATTTGACATCGTGTTGGAGTTCACCAAGGCTCGATTCTCAGTCCACTGTTATTTATAACTGTGATGGAAGAAATCACAAAACCGATACGCATTGGTGACATTTGGAATCTAATATATGCTGATGATGTCGTTTTAACAGCCACGTCTGAGCAGAATGCAGCACAGATGTTTGAAGATTGGAACATGAGACTCGCCGATCATGGATTCAAAGTCAACATCAGCAAAATCAAAGCAACACTGGTGAGCCCATCCAATTCCCAGCTTCTGGACGATGGCCCTGTTCAGTTTGTAAAGCTGGTGTAGGTAACAATTCAATCAAGTGTCAGCAGTGTAACCAGTGGTGTCACAAACGTTATTCAAAAATAATTGGTACTTTATCTAAAGCGTCCAATTTTGTTTGTCCTGCTTGCATCAATCCACAACAACAAATTCGAAATAGCACTGTTTTTGAAGCCAATAAGGTAGAGAAAGTCACATCGTTTCAATATCTAGGGGATGTTCTAGATTGTACTGGAACAGCTGAAGCTGCCGTTCGAGCACGCATACGTGCAGCCTGGAATAAATGGCATCTCCTTGCCTCTATATTAATGCGGCGTGACATCCCACTACCACTACGATCAAGACTTTATAAATCTGTGACACGTCCGGTGTTGTTATATGGTGCAGAAACATGGCCAATGACAACCAAACTGGGACAACAACTTCAACGAACCGACATGAAAATGCTCCGATGGATGTAACAAATTAGTCTGAAGAATCACATCAAATCCACCGAAATCCTGCGTCGTGCTGGTTTAGATGATATAAAAGACGAATGCCGGCAACACCGTCTGCGGTGGTTTGGTCATGTCAAACGAAGTAGAAACAGTGCCATAACTTCTCTTGCAGATGTCGAAGTACCTGGCACACGTCCCAAAGGCCGTCAAAAGAAGTCCTGGTCGCAAACAATTGAGCAAGACATGAAAGCTCTAAATTTAAATGAAATGGATACAACTGATCGTCTAATTTGGCGCAAAAAGTTGATAGCAAAAAAAGCAACGTCCTACCTCGGGGAACCGGGACTCTGGACGCAAAACGAAGATTGATTGATTGATTGATTGATTGATACTGAGTTGATGATAAATTGGGTTTAGGAGGATTAGAATCATTGTTAGATTTTTTGCACAGCGGAAAACATGACAAAACATTAATGTCGTGGATGGCTGCGTAGTCAATTGCATTCTATTTTGTGCATTTCTGTAGATTTCCAATATAGAAACAACTTTTCTTTATAAGTTTGCTTTTGGGCCCTTCTGAGTGAGTCAGCGGCAACAAATTTAGAGTTTCAAATTCTGACATTTTTTGCTGTGAACTTAAGTTAAACTTGGAGCGTTTACAAAGTTAAAACGTTTTTAGATTAACCGGTGATAAAAGCTGGAAATCCGTAGGGGTAAACGAATTTTTTGAAATTGCGGAGTTGTTAGTTGAAGGCTGAAAGCTATTCTTAACAAAATTATATTTATTTTGATTAACCAATGTTTTAGCTGATATTACTTCAGCAAACGATTTTTTTAACAAATCAATTTCTTTCGCTTGTTTTTCATTATTTGTGTTTTCTTTTTTTGTATTTTCAAAAAATCATTATCTGTTCAATGAATTGTTTATATCAGCTCTGACCGGAAAACTAACATATAAATTGGCATTTTTTCTCTGTCAAGTTTTTTTTTTAAGATTTTATTAAGAAATATTTTCAGTCACTTTTAGCGTCCGATTTTAAACCCGGTAATTTTCTAGTTCATTTTTTTGCTTCATTAATTTGGCAGAATCGTCGAAGGACAATTCTTCAAGTTCAAAATTAGTGAACTTAAATAGAATTCAGTAAATTTATCAACCAGTTTTGAAACATCAATTGAGTCAACTTACTTCATTAAAAAAATAGAACTTCATTATTTACAAAAGTTTTGTTATTAGAAACAAACGAAATATCTGCACATCTTTACTCGCCATTGTTTAAAAAAATCTTTATATAAATTTGTTTTATTACGCAATAACAGAGGTATATATGATCTTCATTCGCAACAACTTTGCTGAAGCCAGATATGAGTATTTCAAATACAGATTGTAAAATCTTAATTTTTCACGTAACATCTTTTGCTTGTGAAAACGTCTCGTTGTTCATAAAAAAATACTAGGTCAAATGTTTACCTCTACACATATCAACATTTTGGTGATTATACCACATTTACATCATAATTTCAAACAAGCTCACATTTGATTTTACTTCTGCCCAAACATTTTTTTTTTCAAAAAAGCTATCTGTATTTTGTTAATATTCTTAAATTTTTTTGAAGCTTCTAAATCTAACACTAATTTTTCACTCGCAGCTTATCTATCTTCTGTCCGAAATTATTTATAGAATTTTCATGAATTATTTACCTACTATGACTCATTCTTTGATCGCGTCTATTTTTGAAATAGTTTTTATCAGTTGGTTAAGTATTTTTCTAGACTCTTTTCTTTGATTTCATATACATAGTGAATGCCTCGCTCTTTTTTTGTTTCATTAACTTTTTTCATAAAAAGCTTAATTTAACTCAAACCTCTTATGATCCTAATTACTATAACTGCCTATTGTAACTAAATTGAAAACGTAAATCTTAAGTCATCAGCCTATCAACTAGCTAAAAATAAAATTTCTGTCTTAACTACATCAAAGCGGTCAATTATTTCTACACAATTTATTCATTATTATTAATTTAACTTAGCAATTTATCCATGTCATGTTTATCACAGATTGATTGTTTTTGAAATACAAATTAAAAGGTGTTTTATTTTTTTTATCTATGTGATATTTTCTATTGTTTATACAGTTCGATCTTGTTAATACGTTGTACAATAATTTTTCCATATTATAATACGTTTTTTAATAATTTATCGTTCCTCTAGAGTTAATCCTGAATTAGCTTTTATTAAAAAATGCAATAGCATTTTTTCACAGTATTTGGCCTTAAATAAAATTGTTTGCTAATATGACTGATGAAATGGACTTATTTATTTAAATTCAACATTCTAATCATGTTCGATCCACATGCTTATTATCAAATTTGGATTTGTTCAAATAAGAAAACTAATTTTTTTGCCATAAGGGTTGTAGAAAGCTGGAATCTTTTTGAAAAATTTATTAAAAGTATCAAATCTTTGTAACATTTATTTTCAAAATTTACTTTAATTTTCCAAACATTTTATAAATTGTTTGGAAAATTTTATAACCTGATTTAACATTTAATCTATAAATTTTTCAATTTGATAATTTATTTTTTTATTTTATCAAAAGCTTTTTAGGTCTCAAATCAGTTTGTATAAAAGGTTGGGCTAAAGGGGAAAATTACTTGAATGATGATTATTTCCATAAGAAGAAACCCAACCATACGTGGAATGCAGTATTGTTGCAGGAGAAATGGTGTCTAATTGATTGCTTTTGGAGTAGAAATTTAATGAATACTCATTCCCTCGAACATTTTGATGACTTCTTTTTCTGCATTGAACCAGAAAAAATGATTTATAGTCATTTCCCGGAGCACAGTGTCTGGCAGTTATTATCAGACCATCTTTCTTTCGATGATTTCATTAACTTGCCCTACCTTAAACCAGAATTTTTCAAATATAAGCTTTCACTTGATGACAATTTTTATTTTGAAAATATGAAAAATTCTTGTATTGTCATTAAAATTAATCATTCATATGACACCAATTTCAGTTATAAAATTCATTTAGCTGAACAAGAAGATAAATTAGTACATTTAAAAAAATATGTATTTCAAGAAATCACAGACAGAGAAGTTAAATATTATTTTAGGCCTCCGATTCCAGGAACTTATTATCTTCAAATTTATGCCTTTCCATATTTTAAAAGTTACGAATTTGATTCAATTATTCATGCTGCCGTTGCAGATTTTAAATTTGTTACAAAAAACCATTGTAACCTTGGGCCGTACCCTCCTTGTTCTGATGCTTGCTGGGGTGTACCACAAAAATTTAAACATATCCTTTCCTCATATATTGATTCTGCATATTTAGTGAACCCGTCTGGAAAGTTTAATCTTTTCTTTAACAAGTTAAACAACGAACAGATTTTCGTAAGACTAGTAAATGATGCTCATTCAAATGCTAGATTGAAAGAGTTGATAAATGTCGTCAACTATGATCTGAAGGCTGAAATTTCCATTCAGTTGATCGATAACCTTGAATATGGTTTAGAGGTTTTTATTAATAAAAAGGCTTCAAATGAAAAATCTCGATTTTGTTTCCAACTACTTTTGTGCTCTAAAAATTATTTAAAGTCCGATGGCGAAAAGAACATACAGGTTGTTTTTTTCTATATATGTGTTTGTATAATCAAGCTCAATGTTTATTTCATCTAGGTGGAAAAGGCAAATGTTGATGTTCCTCAAGAAATTCAGTAAGTTTTTAAATTAAATTTTATAACTTAGTTGCAGAATTAAAACGTCTAATACCGATTTCAAACAATACTTCTTTTGACAGTCAACTATTGAAGTTTTACAATGTTTGCGTCACTTTTTCGTTCCCCTAAAGTTAACATACGAGAAGCTCTAATATAGCAACCAGAATCTTAGCTGAGTGAAGCGTTGCGATTGATTCATTAGACAAATTATAAAATAAATTGTAGTACTAAAATAAATAATTAGTATATTTAATCTAATGAGCGCCGTTTTCTTAATTAGGTCATGCTTGTCGTCAGTAGCATTTAATTCTAATGTTATGTTAAAATTTAAAATTGAATTGGTTGTAGCGCACTAAATAAAACATCAAATGGTGCCAAATTTGCTTTTTAAAACTGTTATTTACGACTGGAAAGATACAATTTAAATCACTTATAAACAACACCGAATAATCAAAATGAATATTTGAGTTTTCAAAGAAAAATTGCAGGATTGATGCAATCAAATACGGAATTTATTTCCAAAAGAGCGAGCAACGATACATTTTAATCATCCACAGAAGAGTAAGACATAGACGAAATATCGATTAAGGTTGTCGATGTAGAATGAGACATGCGGTAACCTGGCTGATAAACTGAAAAGATTATGGGTATCAAATATGAAAGAAGTTTTGTTGGGATATTTATTTCTAATATTTTAGACAGAAACATATAATTGGTAAAAGTCATTTATTTTTAAATTCATGTTTATTGAGATTTTATTTTAAATTGCAGTGACGACAGCGTTTTTAAAAGCTGATGAAAATGAACTCGAGCTTGAGCACAAATTGATGAGAAACGTTAAAAATAGTAGAAGCAAATCAACAAATACTATAATAATTTCTGTAGGTGCTTAATCCAATAAATGATTTTGATGACGATTTTAGTAAAAATTTTCATATGATACTAAAACAAAACCAAAGGTTTTGAAAGAAAATTTTATTATCAACATTTCTAGTGATCGTTTCAATCAGTGTTGGATTAAAACCTCTTCGGGCTCCCGAAAAATATTTTGAGGTTTCTTGACTTTTTCATTAACGTAACTGAAAAAGATTATGGGTATCAAATATGAAAGAAGTTTTGTTGGGATATTTATTTCTAATATTTTAGACAGAAACATATGATTAGTAAAGGTCATTAATTTTTAAATTCATATTTATTGAGATTTTATTTTAAATTGCAGTGACGACAGCGAAAATGAACTCGAGCTTGAGCGCAAATTGATGAGAAACGTTTAAAATAGTAGAAGCAAATCAACAATTACTATAATAATTTTTGTAGGTGCTTAATCCAAAAAGTGATTTTGATGACGATTCTAGTAAAATTTTTTATATGATACTAAAACAAAACAAAAGGTTTCTAGTAACCCAAGTTCAACTATTAATATATAATTTTTTATACGATACTAAAACAAAACATAAGGTTTTGAAAGAAAATTTTATTATTAACATTACTAGTGATCGGTTCAATCAGTGCCGGATTAAGACCTCTGGCCGTAAAATATTTTGAGGTCCCTTGACTTTTCCATTAACATAGGCCTCCAACTGTTTTTAGTAACCCAAGCTCAACTATTAAAAGCAATGCAATGTACGTACATTGCAACAAAATTTTTTCTTAGTTTTATGTTTTTCATAATTTGCTATTTATCAATTTTCTGCAATTTTTTATTTGCTATAAACAATTTATTGTTTTTACACTGCTTTTTTAGTTTATTCATCTGCGCTAAAAACCGCTATACAAACTTTCTAATAAAAAACTGTTGCATAAAAAATATGACATTTTTATTTTTTTTATTACAAATAACAAATAAATTTTTTTCTTCAACGTAACATAACATGTCAATAATAGTTTTGAGTAACAAACACTTATACGACGAGTCTATTACATCATCAAGCGAAATTGTTCTGGCAACACGCTTTCAATTTCAATTATAGATAACGATGACAATCGCGTTTGACCCATTGATGAACTTAATTCTTGACTTAAATGAGAATGACCTCTACCCTTCACAGTTGGTGCACATGAGGAGCAGATAAATGCGTAAAGCATTTTCTACGTTGGGGAATGTTGATTGGAGACTATGTTTTGTAATGATATCTAAAAACTAAAGAGGTGACTGACTAGATTCAATAAGTTTTTTACAGTAGCGAATAAATTGCAAAAATTCATTTGGAAATGTTTTTTCAAGGTCGTCCTTAAAATGACTGACAAATTCTTCCGCTTTTTTTAAAATAACTTGTGTCTGGACAAGTTATGTCAGTCAAGAATCCGTGCCTGTCTTTAAGTGAAACATATGCTGTGGCTCAACTTTTTAATTCAACAATTTCTCTATCAATGATGGCGTAGAAGGTGTTGATTTCAAATTCACGACCACCTGAAAAAGATACTGCAGCTGATTTAATGTCGTCATGTAAAGATATTAATGAACATTTTCTTCGTGTATCTGCGCAATCATTTTCAACCAGCGTTTTGAAACTTTATTCCTAATGTTGAAATCTACCGCGTATGTCTTGGGAAAACGAATAACACAACTGAATAACAATATCTAGTGATATTCCAGGAGTCTTGCTGGTCTTGTGAATTCGGACAGTTATGTCCTTCCAAAGTAAAGACATAATGCCAGTTTCCAGTTCTTGCATCTTTTTGTAGTACGTTTTGGTTTCATGTCGTGTTGACGGCGTTTTGGACATATCGGAAGCAATTTATTTATTTATTTATTCATCAAATCAAACAAAAGTAAAAAATAGAAATGATACGGAGATCAAAAAAAGATAAAAAAAATCTTATGATAGACCACCGTTAAACAGAAAATAATACGTTTAAATGTAAATAGATAAATTAAAATATATTAAAGCTACTGGAAAATTGACTCAAATTTATATCCAAATGAAATTAAATAATGACAAATTTATAAAATAAACGATAATGTTAATTATTCTAAATAATAATCTCATGTTTAACAGACAAAAGAAAGGATTTGCGATAATATTTAAATCGACTTGGTTTAGAAATCGTGGTGATAGATGGAGGCAGTATTTTAAACAAAATTTAGGAGCTAGAACAAAAATACTATCATTTAAAATTTTCAATCGACTAAATGAAATAATAAAAGGAATAATCTAGTAGAGCTGAAACTATTTGAAGGTATACGCAATAAAAATTAAAAAAAGTTAGAAGATAGATGGTTATTAATAAATTTAAACATAAAAATTGATGCAGTAAAAATAAATAACTTATAAATGGTTAATATATTTAGAGAAGAAAAAAAGTCATCAACGTGATCACTTTGATCACAGTTTGCTTCAAATAAAATAAAAGTTTGATGAATTTCTTTTGTAGCTTATATAATTTTAATATATGTGTATTAGGAGAATGACCCCAAATGATGTTACAATAAGTAAGATGAAAAATAAATGCGTAGTACAACTGTAAAAGAGTAGGAACATTTAATTTATATCTAATTTAAAAAACAATCCTAATGTCTTGCTAATTTTTGACGTGAGTGAATCAATATGTTCAGCCCACGACAAATTATCAGCAACAATGAGACCTAAAATTTTAGCATTAAATTTTCTTTCTATCAGATGATTATTAATATACAGATTCAGAGGCCCAAATAAATTAGTGAGAATTTTAGGTCCAAAACACATAAAAACATTTTCGATAATTAACCTTTAATCCATTTTGAGCAAACCAATCAGTAATAGTTTTTAATTTAGTGTTTAAGAGATTAATGTCGTCGATTAGGGATTTAGATGCATAAAAGAAACAAGCATCATCAGCATAGAGAATGAGTTTAAATAAAGAATTTATATAAGCCAAGTCATTAATAAATAAAATAAACAACAAGGGTCCAACTATTGACCCTTGCGGGACACCTTTGGGTACTAAAATTTTTCTGGAATTGGCATTATTAACTCTAACGTACTGGGATCTGTGGAGCAAGTATGACCTAAACCAAGACTGCGATTTACCTCGAAAACCTAACATGTCCAGTTTGCATAAAAGCAATGAATGGTCAATTAGATCAAACGCCTTGCTAAGATCAATAAACACACTTAACGTAAAAAACTTATCATTCATACTGAACAAGTTCAAGGTTGGCAAGTTCGGTCGACCTACCAGATCGAAAGCAAAATTGGCATGGAGAGATAAGCTGATTAGCAGTGATAAATTGAAGCATGCGTGTATGCATCAGCTTTTCGAGTATCTTGAAAAGTGGGGACAGTAAAGATATAGGCCTATAATTTGATACTAAATTTTTGTCACCCTTTTTATGTATAGGAATAATTCGCGCATTTTTAAAGACCGAAGATTTCTTGATGAAATGATAGATTAAATATGTGCAAAAGAGGTTTAGAAATATTATATATACATTTCTTGATAATGTAATTATTAAGCTCATCATCGGACAATGATCTGGAGTTCTTCATATTACTAACGGCATCTATAATTTCAACCTTTTCAATGTCATATAAATAAGAGGAATCAGGCTGGCATTTGAAAACAGCCAATGACAAACTCGCGATAAAATATTTGTTAAATTCATTAGAAATAGAGGAGCTATCAGCAACAATATTATTGTTGAATTGAGGAATATTATTGAATATAGGAATATTAGGAGATGTATTACTTTTTAAAAGAGAATTAATGTATTTCCATTTAGATTTGACATCATTACAAGAGAGTTGACTAAATTTCTGTGTAGTTTGCTGCAAAAGCGTGACAGGCATCATAGTTTATCATCTTGTATTAGCTGCTCCATTCAAAACGACTGCGCCTGTCGTCAAATTGCTTGTCATCTTTGTCCATCGACCAAAAAAATGTGTATATACTTTGTATTAATTCAAAAAAATTGTCACCCTTTGATCATTTAAGGTCTTCAAAGGGAATAGGGGATTTTTTCTTTTTTTATGATGACATGGAAAATATTTGGGTCAAAAAATGTCTATATCTGGAATTGCCCAATTCCTAACGATAAACACCAGTTATAAACAGAGGGCCTAGCCCTTTTGCTGGAAGCACACAAGGTAGGGCGGTTGCAGTTTTTTTCGTGCCCAAGAGAGCACTGTTGTAAGCACCTAGCCTTTGGGTCAAAGGTCCCTGTTCCAAGGCAGGGGATTTTGAATAGAAAATCATCTGCTGTTGGAGCCGTTGTCCTAGGATCCTCCGACTCTTTCACCGTTGTCTTCTTTCTTCTGGTACAGTTGGTTCACGGCATCTTATTCCGTATTATTCGATGCAATCCTAGAAGGTCTCCCTGCCCAAGACTTTCTCCTATCCACCACCTGGAGACGCGCCTCATAGCCAGTGCACCTCAGCACGAGATGTTCTTTATAATTATGATAATAATTGATTGTATTTAATATAATATTAACACTTATATTACAATTTGTGTATAATTATTATTTATCTTTTTTCCATGTTTTGTTCTTATTTCCTTAAATTAACATGTATATATATATATTATTATTATTATTATTATTATTATTATTCATTGCATTTATACAGCGTCCGTTTGAAAAAAACAATCGTCACAGGCGCTTCAATGTATTAAATGCTATTAAGGGCTGAACGGAAAGGTTTTCAGCTGTTTCTTAAATTGACTTAGAGCAAAATCACCACTGCGGAAAGTGTTTGGAAGCCTATTCCACATTTGTGGTCCGACCGCAGCAAAGCTTCGAGATCCAATCTTGAGGTTTGTCTTTGGCATGCCCAAAAAATTAGAATCAACAGACCTCAATTCATATTTTGACAACTTTGTTCTATCATTAGTAAACAATTGGATCATATTTTGTGGTGCAACATTATTCAAAGACTTATAAATAATACACATAATTTAAAAATAATTTATTTAAAAATTAATAATTTAAAAATTATTTTATTCTAACATATTTTGTTTTTCATGTTTTATCATTTCTCTTCCTCACTTTTTGTATTTATTTTCTCACTTATTTGTTTAATTTTGTTTTACTGCCTTGCATGTTGTTACAGTTTCTGCGTCTGTCAGATCCTGATTTTTAAAGAATAATAAAAAAAAAATTCTCTTATCTACCCGCAACCAATGCAAATTTTAGTATTGGGCTCACATGATCAACTCTACTACCCCCAACCACAACCTTAGCCGCCCTGTTTTGAATTGACTGCAACATAGATAGATCACGCTTTGATATTCCTCAATAAAGACTTACAAAAATCCAAACAAGCATGGATGAAAGAATGAACCAAAGAGTTCAATGTGTCTTTGGTTAAGCATTTTCTCGTTTTTCTCAGCAAACGTAGCTGAAATGTGCAAGATTTAAACAAAGATTATATTTGCTGGTTCATCGACAGCTTGGAATCCAAAATAAAACCAAGCAGAGTCGCCGAACTAGAAAAATTTATAACATTGTCATTGATTTAAATGGACTTAGCAGTTATTTTGGACAACGGTTGCCAGGTGCATATCGGTAAAATTTGTGTTTTAGTTTGGTTCATCTGAATACCATTTTGCGCCATCCAAACATCTATGTCAGACAAACTATTTTCGAGTCGATCTGCAACCGATCCAAGCATTTCAGGCACAGATTTGCTACAATCTGGATATCATCCGCATAAGCAAAACCCTTAAAACCGTATCTGTCAATAATTCCAAACACATTCGCAGTGTACAGAAAAAACAAAATGGGACCATGAACGGATTCCTGCTGTACACCGCATTCCAGATATTCTTCGGTAGAAAGTACATCATTAAAAAACACCTGCTGGGATCTCCCACTAAGGTAGGATTTAAGGCCCTTCCAAACGCTCCATAACTTAACTGTAGCTTTTGAACGAGAACGGCATGATCGACGCAATCAAATGCCGCACTCATGTCAAGTAAAGCCAGAAGAGATATATTTTTAGAAGAGATGTATATATAATATATATATAAAGAAATTAATAAACGTTAAATGGGTTAAATGGTGAACCCATCCAATCCACAGCTACTGGACGATGGCTCTGTTCAGTTTGTAAAGCTGGTGTAGGTAACAATTCAATCAAGTGTCAGCAGTGTAACCAGTGGTGTCACAAACGTTGTTCAAAAATAATTGGTACTTTATCTAAAGTGTCCAATTTTGTTTGTCCTGCTTTCATCAATCCACAACAACAAATTCGAAATAGCAATGTTTTGAAGCCATTAAGGTAGAGAAAGTCACATCGTTTCAGTATCTAGGGGATGTTCTAGATTGTACTGGAACAGCTGAAGCTGCCGTTCGAGCACGCATACGTGCAGCCTGAAATAAATGGCATCTCCTTGCCTCTATATTGATGCAACGAATTAGTCTGAAGGACCACATCAAATCCACCGAAATCCTGCGTCGTGCTGGTTTAGATGATATAAAGGACGAATGCCGGCAACACCGTCTGCGGTGGTTTGGTCATGTCAAACGAAGTAGAAACAGTGCCATAACTTCTCTTGCAGATGTCGAAGTACCTGGCACACGTCCTAAAGGCCGTCAAAAGAAGTCCTGGTCGCAAACAATCGAGCAAGACATGAAAGCTCTAAATTTAAATGAAATTGATACAACTGATCGTCTAATTTGGCGCAAAAAGTTGATAGCAAAAAAAGCAACGTCCTACCTCGGGGAACCGGGACTCTGGACGCAAAACGAAGATTGATTGTTAAATGGGCAAAATCATTTAATCAAATATTATATATATATATGTATGTATATATATATATATATATATATAACTAACTTATATATATATAAATTGATATATCAGGTATTAACACCGATGGTGGCTATTTTGCCGAAAAAAGCTTTTTTGTTGCAATTAAGTTATTTTAATTTTATTGGTTTTAATGTAATATCTTTTATTGATTTACTTTTATTTTACTATAATAAATAATAAAATAAATATTGAAAAATATTTTGTCGATTTAATTAATAAATTCAATACTGAATTACAACATACTATTAAAAAAATAAAAAAATAAAAATAAGTTAATAAATAATAAAGCAGCTACTAAATTCAATGAAAATTGTTCACGTAATCACCTTTTTTTTATTAAACTAATTTTTTTTTCAACCATTGACTAAGTATCGAAATTTGCACATCCATTTTCGATTTTCTCAAACATTTAGTGCTCCTAATTTTGTTTTCCCATTTTTTTCAGTTATGTCATTTGTTAAAGCTTTTTTTTGTTTAATCAGAAAAATTTTTGATGAAATATGTGTCTTGAGACTTGTTTCCAAAGATCAGGACGGTGAAGAGTATTGCAAATTATTTCAATCCATGTGCTTGTACGTTTTCTTAAATTATTAACAATCATTATCAAAAGTTACATTTATTCTTATAATCATTGTCAAATTTACGCTTCTAACCTTTTTTGAAATGATAAATATTTTTAGAAAATTTGGATATGAGTGTGAGATCATTGAAGGATATGTTAAAGGTCGGGGTTATCGAATTGGACACATTTTTCAAAATGATTTCCTTCACTCGTGGAATGCTCTAAATATTTGTGGCTTGTGGTATCTAGTGGATCTTGATTGGACTTGTAGACGAATTTATCGACAGCAGGTAAAGTTTTATTTTTATGTTGGTATTGTTTTTCTTAAAATATTTTGAGACTAGGTATTTTGTTTGAATCAAGAATTTCATCTATTTTTGCGTGTCTGAGTAAATCCATACTTTCCAATATGTTAACATTTGTTGTGAATATTAGGTTTCTAACGGTTATATTACTATTGTTTAAGCATTTTAATAGATTTGTTAATAGATGATAACAAATAATATATTTAAGATCAAAAACTTAAATTTCAACTTTGGAATAACAATCTTTTGTTAAGAACATACTTTTTTGTTTATGAAGTTACAAGACAGTTAACACTGCATGCACATACTTTTTAGAAATAAAAATGTTTGCGTAGTGCGTTTGCTAGCATCTATTTTCATTATTAAAGATGATTGCGTATCGCCACATACATATATAGTTTAAAAGATCTAGAAAAATTTATTTTGTATTTTTTGACGCTTCACGGAATCGGTCGAATATATTCTTTCTGAATATTCTAACTCTGGCAAATTCCATTATATTTCAAAATTGACCGACTCGATTTTAACAAATGATGTTTATGATCTAATTTTATAAATAATAATGATAATGTTTTTATCTTTGTACTCAATTGTAGTTACAATAAATAGTTACAATAATAATGAATAAATTGACTTATGTATTGTTATCAAGCTTGAGTAAATAGGCAAAGTTTCATTTTGAACATATGGAAGAAAGTATATAAAGTGTATTGAATGGAAATTTTCGTGAAACTAATTATAAAAATGTTTTATTATTAACTTTCAGCAACAAAACTCTATTGTTTGCAATACGGACAGCTTTTACTTAATGCCTTCTCCTCAGGAATTTATTTTCACACATTTTCCTATTGACAGCAAGTGGCAGCTCTTGGAACATCCAATAACGAAAAATACGTTTGAGAATTCTATTTTCTTTAAATCGGCTTATTTTAAATATGGCATCAAATTAATGAGTAAATTTGATAGCGAAATACGCACAAGCGAAGAGTTGCTATTTCAATTCAAAGTTGATGTAAGTAAAAATATTTTTTATGTCTATTTTCATTTCATTTTTTAATCATGCATATAAATAATAATTGTTTCAAATTTAACATTTTAATTTAACCCTATGATGGACAAAAAATATTACCTATGACAGGGATGGGCAAACTTAATTATATTGTTATTATTATTATTAATATATGAGTTTTTATATAGCGCCTTTTAAAGTGAGCTTCTCAAAGCGCTCTCATAAAAATGAAAATACACAATCATAAAAAAATCAAGCAAACCACAAATTAATCAAAATAGAAATCAAAGTTATTAACAGTTATTAACAAAAATAGTTAATTGTCAGAAGTGGTTGCCGGCTTCACATCGTGTCTTTTGTTGTTGCTGAATAACCAGTCTCTAATCCTCACATATTCAGGTCAAGTACCTTCGTTGCTGACCAAGCTAAAGAAAAATTTCTGATGGTCGCATAGTCGAAAGGACGTTAACAAATTATTATTATTCAACTCTGCATTCTCATTTTCCAATAACGGGTAGCAGGATAACCTATTTCTATCTCAATTCCTATTTTCTTTATATGCTCAATGACATCATACGCAGAACATTTCCTAGCGTTGCTCATGTGAAAAAACCTCTTACAAACAAAAGGTTTATTCGTCTTGATTCTTGAATCACTAGCTGGACACAAACCAGTGACAACTGGACGCTTTTTCTTCATGATCATAACCATGCTTCACCCGATTTTTCCGTCTTTGGACTTTTTGAAACCGTCAGAATCACCATCAGTATTTAGTCTCTGAACTTTAATGAACCCGTCGGAATCTCCATCACCTTTTATAAAAATTTTGAAGTTGCATCATCAGTAATATTTAAAATTTTGTTAATAATTATATCCTGTTTACTTAGAGTATTATTAATAGTATCAGTTTGTTTTTCTACAACTTTCACCGGCTCAGCTACATTCAAAACTTCAGTTAACTTTTTGACATCTATCTTGAACTTATCTCCGCCAACTCATTTTGCCTTTCAACTGCATTCATTAACTTCGCCCCCACCCAGACTTGGACCACCGAAATCAATCAAATCAATGATCCTCCTTTGTCCATCAGGGGACCGTCGAGGTCGATGGTGTACATCTAAGCATGCTCTTTACATTTCTTTTCTTTTTTCTTTCCAAAAACCTTTTCTATCTTTGGTCAGTTTTATTGAATTCAGAATACCAACACCAGTGCATTCGGTAATGTCGTCTATCCATTTCTTTGCATGTCTACCAACTTTTTTCTTCCAATCTCTTTTCCTCATTAGAACCATCCTAATCAATATGTCTTCCCTCATTCTACCATTCTACAAATGTGTCCAAAAAATCCCAATATTTTTTCTCTGACTTTGTCATATACACTTTTTTGCCTTCCAAGTTGATTTCTGATGGTTTCGATCTATACTTTCTGCCTCCAACTGATTCCCAACAAATTTCGGTAACGTTTCATCTCAAATGCTTCCAGCCTGTCCTTGTCTCTTTTCTTTATTGTCAATGTCTCATATGCATAGAGCAAGCTCAGAAAAATGCAAGATTCTATCATTCTCAACTTTGTTTTTATAGATATATTTCTATTTTTCCATATTTCATTCAATGATGCGAACGTTCCATGGGCTATTGCTATCCTTCTGTCAATTTCTTTTGTGCAGTTGTTGTCACAGATTATAAGACTGCCAAGATACACAAACTGGTCTATTTGTTCGAGTTTTTCTGATTCTTTCTGAAATTCCGCATTGTTTCTGCCTTTCCCCGTAATCATCACAACACTACTATTTTTAAATACACATTTTTACATTTGGTTCCACTTAAAAAAAACTTATTTATTAGTATACCCTGTTCAGTAACGTTTACTGTCCGCATTACAGCGACATGTCATTACATAAAGAGATATTTTGTGAAATTCCGGCGTGAAAAATCAGGCGTATAACGTTAATGAAAAAATTTTGAAATTCCCTCGAAGAAAGAGTCGGATAACGATGTAATAGTTAAGGCGTTTGGTCTTGCTGGTGTAGTGAGCTGGTTTGAAGGCAAAAAGATCTACGCCTCTCACATGCAATATGTTTGGTGCGTAGATTCGTTTTAAAAGTTTTGAAAATTTCACCAAGAGCCAAGAAATTCAACTAATATTAGCTAGTGAGGCCAAAATAATTTTTTTTTAAATGGAATAGCTTATATTGATTTGATCATAAGTTACATAGAGAAAATCGTATTCCTATTGCTCGCACTGTACTAACATCTAACGGTCTGTAAATTGATTAATTGTGTTACTGCATATATATATTGCAAGGTGGCAAGCAACGCATCACACGCTCGAATATGATTTATTGTCATTTTGCGAATTAAAACAATTAATTTAAAAATTATATAGGACGATGAATCTTCTCTATTATGTTCGCTGGAAGGAGACAAAATGAATTCACCCAGTTCATTTCAAGACCAGTTTGTGATGCAATTTAAAACAGAAAACGTTGTCAACTTTCGCGTTCGTTTCCCATTCACCGATAATTATAAATTAATATTTTTCATAAAAGATAGCAATGATCATTATTACGAGGAAATGTGTGAATTCAGAATATATTATGTTGGGGAAATCGCTATGACTCCATTTCCACCTTCAATTCAGTCGCTTTGGGGTGCCTCACAGTTCGCAACCAAAAATAATTTAGCGTGTTCTGTAACTGACCCATTACTGAAAACAAATTATCAAGGCTTTATTAATTTAATAATTTCAAATATTAGAAGTTTCAATTTCAAAACTACTTTAAGCAAATCTAATGATAAAACTATAAGATTGATTTCGAATCAATCAATTCTTTCAAGAAAAATTAATGACAAGTTGTTGATAACAGTAGGCTGCTCAGAAGTTTGTGAATATTGTTTAATGGTTTTTGCTTGTGCTGATTTCGATAAACTAAAGGAATATCACTTAGCTTTTCAATTTGCTGTCACTAATGAGAACAAAAACATGAAAATTACATTCCCGAATCTTGCTATCGGCTTTCTTGGGCCTCAATCTTTGAACAGTCTTTTTCAAGTGCATTTACTCGAGCAAGATGATTATTTTATTGAATTTGATAAAAACAACATACATTTAAAATTCAGAACTGAAGCTTTTTCCAGATTCACTTGCAAATTGCTAGAAGTCATTGATGAAACTCTGATAAATAGAAACGTAAATAAATTACTTCAAAGGAAGAATGAATATTTATTTGTTAATTTAATTTTACCGTCCACAAATGTATTCTTATTGCAGCTCTTTGTGTCAATGAATAGTTCAACTTTTGTTAATGTTTATAATTTGTTGTTGAAATCTCATAAAATATCTGCAACAGCCAATTATCCAAAGCAATTAAATCATTGGAATGGGTTTTTACATGAACCCTTACGTTACGAGTTAAATAATGTAGACGAACATACTTTCAAATTAGAAGTAAAAAACGCACACAAGATTGTTATGAAATTCAACAACACAATTTATGACTTTCACGAAGTTGAACACAACATATGGCGTTTGGAAACGTCATTTTCTGAGTACAAATGCGGAAAAGTTCTCATCCTAGCATGTTTCAACGATAAAACAGATTGCTATAATGCTATTTTGCAATATAAAATTTCTTGTTGATAACGTAAAATATATTTTTGTTTGCATTTTCACCATTTTGATGTGCCTATTTTAAGTTTTTATACGATAACATTTGTTTTCAGAATTTCGGTTTTATCGGGAATGCTTATTAAACCCCTGTCACGATGTTTTAAAATTTTCACTCAATATAAGTTAATTGTAGCAGGTCGCAGTTGTTATATTTTACTTTTATATTTTTCAAAGTTGATATAATTTTTCAAAAAAACAATATATATATATATATATATATTGATGAAAATCACAGCAATTAGTATCCTGTTTAATTTTTCTAACGGTAGATCGTAAATCAATGTCAAGTTTTTTGAGTTCAAAACCAAAATTATTATTTATTTTAAGCATGATAGTATATAAAGCATGTGTGAGAGCAGTGATGGTATATGGTGGTGAAACTTGGGTGTTGAGGAGAGAAGAAAGTGTACTGCAGAGGGCTGAAAGAGCTATGGTGAGGATGATGTGTGGGGTTAAAGTGAAGGATAGGAGGAGTAGTACAGAGCTGATGTCGAGGATGAGACTGAATGAGGACATTGTGACATTGATAAGGAGATCGAGATTGCGGTGGTATGGACATGTGTTGAGAAGGGATGAAAGGGTCGGGATTAGGCGAGTGTTGGAGTTCGAGGTTGAAGGAGTGGTAGGAAGGGGTCGTCCGCGATTGGGATGGAGAGAGCAGGTGGAGAAGGACAAGGTGAAAGCGGGGTTGCGTGCTACTGAGGCGAGTGACAGATGTGGATGGCGTCGAGGAGTATTTCGGTTTCATCATAGGTAGCCAAACGGCAACCCCCGATCTCGGGGAAAATGTCGTCTAAACGTGTGTTGTTTGTTTAAGCATGATAGAACAAAAAAGCTTTTTTTCAGTATTCCTATACCATTTTCGGTGTTCGAATTGATACGTTGTGTATGTGGCCAAATGCTCAAGCGTGTATATACCGTGTCTATACAATGTTAGTTCGTTGTTTGTTTAAAAATTATTTACATTGATACTAAAAGTGGCATTTTTGGCTTGAAACATTTAGAAATTAAACAAAATTAAAATATTTTTCTTTAATATTTGTTAAATTAAACCGAGAAATTGTTGTCAGTAGTTATAAACAGTTAAATACATGCTTTCGCGCTTTTGCATTGTCAAATGTTTTTACAATTCCAACACGGTCAACCTCTGAAAATCGATCTTTTTCTAAGCATAAAAGGCATATGTTAGCCTGTATAGACCCGTTGACGGACGAAGGTTAGTTTGTACTAATTTCATCATAGAAAAAATTGGTTCGTTGCTGGCTGTGGTCATTGGTAAAGTCAGAAAAAGACAGTAGGAGATGACTTATTCAGGATAGCCGGTATCTGCTTCTGATAAGTCTATCAAGTGCTGCGGGAACAAAGGTTAAAACAAATCGACAATTGTGCAAAGAGGTTCAAATCGAGTTTTTAATTGCCTTAAATATTTGTCAACAACTGGAAGATAAACATTAACTGTAAATGTATCGTAAAGTCTTTCCAGACAAAAATCATTCAATATTTTATCAAAAATTTGTTTTATTGCGTGATCTTGTGTCTTATTGAAACGTGAGCATTCCAATCTTCGACCATAATTTCTGCATAATGGCTTGTTTTAGAACTCATTTCTCATTGTTGAAATAAAAGTAATAGTTTCACCTAAGAGAACCACTGATACACTTTAATTAGAAACAGCATGGATGGTACGTAAAATTGTTTCCCATAACAAAAATTTCGATTTGTTAATATGTTCCGTCAAGCGCATTGTTACATATTTGTATTTTTTGAAGGGTTTTTATGACGATTGAGTCATCAAATATATTAATACTCATTAAACTTTTTCACACACAGGCCTAGCCTTTATTTATCGATCACCTCACCAGTCTATCAATTTGCCGTTACTTCATTTTATATTCCATCGCCAATTACTTTTCTTTTATTTGTCTTATTATTATTTATTTTATTCTAACGTATTTTATTTTTCATGTTTTATCATTTCTCTTCCTCACTTTTTGTATTTATTTTTTCACTTATTTTTTTTAATTTGTTTCACTGTCTTGCATATTGTTACAGTTTCTGCGTCTGTCAGATCCTGATTTTTAAAGAATAATAGAGATTGAATATTGCTGAATAAGTGCTCATACTGATTTGTGCCGACTACGTACCTTGTTGAACTCAGATGTTTCAAAGTGTACAGTTTGGTGTCAGATCCACAAGCTTGAAGCGAAGCCCAATTTGAGGCACTAAACCCAAAAAATTTACGCCCATTTTTCACTATACCAAAAAATGTTTTCATTTCAGCACAACACTCAGCTGAATCATATAGTACCAAATTTAATTAGTGGAAAACACAATGAACATAGGTAGCATTTGGTGAATGTTGTTAAATGCGCTCCTGAACCCCTGAAAAAGCTCCAGAAAGTTGCAGGCCTAATTTTCTGTAAAAAATGTTATCGAAGGCTTCTTTCGAGTGAAGAAATCAGTTCATTCTGATTTGTGGGCTGAGATAACGTACAGATCCTATAGGTTCCTCCAAAATTTGATTCATTATCTGATCATATCTTCCAACCAACTGAACAAGTGCTACAAAGTTACCACACCCTAAAGTATCAACATTATTTCTAATTTTTCTGTGAACTCTGAAAGCTAAATTTTTGTTTCTAATACTTGATGCCAGAAGTTTGTCTCAATAGTACACTGATTCAAAAGTTCTTTATCAATTCAAATTTTCTGATTTAAGGGTAATTTTTCAACTAAGATAAAGAGTCTTGGTGAAATTTTATTTTTTGAGACGTGTGAGCCCAATCATTTAGATCATTTATCTATTCAAAGCGAAAATGTGTTGAATCGCGATTTTGGTGAATATGATAGCCAATTTAGTTTTAATTTTTTTTCCTAAAAGATGTTATGGTGAGATATCAAGAGCTAGAAAATTTGCGCCCTTTAGCAACACTAGGAAAAACCGCATGATCTTCATTTGGCTGACGTGGCCCGTGTTTTTAAAGTAGATCTTTCAATCGTTCATTATCAATAGTTTTGGAATATAATCCCCTGTCAGAAGGAAAAAGGCTATATTGTTTTTGAGAACGACGTCTGTTTCATATGTTTCAGTATATTCATTTTCTACGAGTGAGATTATCATTATTATTTTCTATTTCTACATTGTCAATAATAATTCTATCCTGAGCGCATTTTTGTTCAATCGTGACTGGCAAAGAAATAGTGTTATTTTGCTGATTTAGAATTTCATTTTCAGATAGTGTTTAAATTTGGCATGGAATTAGTTTTTTGAAACAACGTTGTTAGTTTAAGGACATTTTCAATGGACATTTTGTTTTTTTTATTTTTCTCCGCTCATTTTCCATAAGCATAAATTAATTTTTTCTGAGCTAAAAAGAAGCCAAAAATTACAACTACAAAAAATGGTAATAGCTCTTCTGAAACAAAAATTTAATCGTTACTTTTGCTAAATAAGATCTAAAATTTCACCTAAAATAATTGAATTTGTAAAAATAACCTACCCACTTCTGTAGTAAAACGATTGCGAAATGTGAATAAATTAATTGACGACGACAAATAAATTACGAAATGTAAATGAAAAATGAATACTACGATAGGTACCAAAAACTATAAAATTATGAACCTTAAAAGTGAACATAATTTAAAAGTTATACATATAATTAAAAGAATATGTTAATTGTTTATCGGAGATGTTACATTAACTTTGGTCCAACAACAGAAAAATTTTGGGTGCATGTTTACGTCTCGGCGAACGAAGCGCTTATAATAATATTCTAAGAATTTGACTCAATGGTTTGTTAGTCAAACCTTGCTGGCTTCATCTCTCAAATAAATAACGTAGATGCAAAACAATTAAGCGGCGGACCTAGAATTTTTAGTGGGGGGTAATTGACATTCGTAAAATATCAAAAACATTTGATGGGTCAAGTTATTTATATTTATATAATCATTAGCAGAAAGCAACCTAATATCATATTCATAATACAAATCAAGTCAGGTAGTTTCTTGTTAAAAATTAGTAGTCTAAAACGATTTTTTTTTAAGAAACCGAATTCTTAAATATACAAAATGATAACTAAAATCAGATCATGAATATGATCAGATATACAATTACGAAAATAAACCTCCAAATTGCTGTGCTTTAAAAAACATATTAATCTACTATAATTTATTTTACGTTATTCATTATGGCAAAATTGTCATTGACAGGTACAATGTAGAAGTTTCTACGAATGTTTATTAGTGCTAAACCATTTAGCCTCTCTACTATCGTGCTTGAACGTAAACGGCATTTGAGTATTTTCATCGCGCCGAATGATCTTTCAGCAGAGCAAGTTGTTATAGGCAGCGCTATACTTTTATAGCTATTTGAAGAAATTGCTTCACTTGAACAAATATTTATGGTACATTCTTTAGAGCAAAATCTCATATACTGATAATATAAACAGAAAGGAAAAGAAAGAAAAACTGAAAAATACTAACATCTATCAAAGTTTACCAATTGTTTTTGTTGAGCAATTAAAAAAATGTGCATGTTAGCATATTTTCGCACATATATATTCACACATACATCACATCGTTTCAATATCTAGGGGATGTTCTGGATTGTACTGGAACAGCTGAAGCTGCCGTTCGAGCACGCATACGTGCAGCCTGGAATAAATGGCATCTCCTTGCCTCTATAATGATGCAGCGTGACATCCCACTACCACTACGATCAAGACTTTATAAATCTGTGATACCTCCGGTGTTGTTATATGGTGCAGAAATATGGCCAATGACAACCAAACTGGAACAACAACGAACCGACATAAAAATGCTCCGATGGATGCAACGAATTAGTCTGAAGGACCACATCAAATCTACCGAAATCCTGCGACGTGCTGGTTTAGATGATATAAAGGACGAATGCCGGCAACACCGTCTGCGGTGGTTTGGTCATGTCAAACGAAGTGGAAACAGTGCCATAA